AGGGGGTAAGGAGGACTTCCTTTATATTCAGTTTGGGTGTTTCTTTGGGTAGGTATGCTGCATGTAAAAATGGAGATTATGGGGTTTGGGAAGATGGGGTGGTAATGCATTAAGGTAAAACACTTGGATTGATAACAATATTGGTTCAGATAGCAAAACAGAGTGCAAGTAAATTTGAGTTTTTTAAATTTAGGCTTGTGGAAGTTAATCTTTCTTTTATTGAACTATTTTTTTATTTTTTTTTATTTTTTTTTTACTTTTAGAATAAGCAAAACACCAGAAATAGGGCTAACCATATTGGTAATTTTCGAAGTAAATGGAATTTCTGAGTCTGTGAATCTACCGTCCTATTGTCAATCCAAGTATCAAAAGGTGACATGGTTGGAACTTATATTTAGTAGACAGGGAGATTGCACTATTTAGGTTGGTTGAGAGGTAGAATCATTAGTGAATATAAATGAGTTTAATTGGTTGTAGTTGAAATTAAAGCTAGTTGGCAAAAACTCATGAACTACATGACAATTCCTTCTGTTTTTGCCCCATCTGTTACCATTTTTCTCTAAATGAAGTGGCTAAGAATCAAAAGAAAGAATCCTTATATGACAGTATAAAACCTTCAACATTTCCAGCTTCCTGATCCTACCAATGGATGTAAAGAAACATGTTTGGTGCCAGCTGCAAGCACAAACTGGTTAATTCGATGTGTCTTTAACAAGAGACTTATATTGGGTTATGTGTTTGTCTGGAGTATGTTTATGAGTATTTGTAGTCTGGTCAAAGGATTTATATAACCGTCATCAACTAACTTGGGATTTAGGGGTAGTTAGATTGATTGATTGATTGTTGCTTCTCCTAGAAAAGAGACAGAAGTAAGCTGATATATACAAACTTGGATTGTCTCAGTTAGTTGTTGGAAGGAGTAAAATCAGTCTGCATTGATTCATTCATCAACTGTTACAAGGAGTAACATCAGTCTGGGAAAATGTAGCAGCTGGTTGAAATAGTGTTTTATTACAAAGTAAAAAAAGGCAGCCCGGTGTACCAAGCTCCCGCTATGCGCGGAGTCCGGAGAAGTGCCGGACCACAAGGGTCTATTGTACGCAGCCTTACCCTGCATTTCTGCAGAGACTTTTATTACAAAGTATTTTGTTGTTATTATTGGGGAATGTGTCATTTGTTATATTGTCCATATTGTTGAACATAGCAGTAAGTTTAACAGTTTGATGGTTATATCTGCAGAAATAAGGTGTTTGTATGTTGCTGAAGAATTTCATGGAGGATAAGCAACTGAATTTGAGTCAACCCTTTCTGTCAGTAAGACGAGTCTCTCCAACATCGGCTTCTGGGAGAGATGAGACGAAGAAAACTGAATATTCTCTCCCCACCGTAACTCATCCTCCTCGTTACAAATCAGAACTGAAGTCAGGTCCAGTGAGGAACCCAGGAGTTGTACCTTTCCTCTGGGAACAAAGCCCTGGAAAACCAAAGTATGAAAGCAAACGGCAAATTCGTGCTTCTGATAAACCACCTATTGCCCCGAGACTTCCCCCAGGGAGAAAACTAAAAGATAACCAGGATTCTGATAATGCCCGTGAGAGTCAAAACGTTAGTAAGGGCCAAATAGGAAATGCTCAACATTCCTCGCCGAGCTGCATGAACTTGGACGAAAAGACGAAGAAGATTGATAGTATTGACTGCTCAAAAGAAATTAAACAGGATAAGGAAAAAAGTGAATCAGGGGATGGTGATGAAGCATACATGGATGCCCCTGATAAGCTTTCGAGAACTGAATCATTCTTTCTGAATTGTAGCATAAGTGGCTTAAGTGGATTAGACGAGCCAGAAGCAAAACCATTTAGTACCTCGTTAACAGATCCACAAACTAGAGATTTCATGATTGATCGGTTTCTGCCAGCAGCCAAGGCGATGGCTTCAGAAAAGACTTTAGAAATGCCTCACTATGCGCCCAGGAAGCAACAAGCTGTTCAGGAGCAACCAAGACAACTGAAGAAGGTAGTAAATGGGGATAAACGGCCTCAACTGCGTTATGGACCTAGTTTTGCACGTCGTTATTCCCAATTTCATGATAACGGCGAAGAAGAAGAAAGCGATGATGACAGTTATGATGATGGAAATCTACCTTATAAAGTTTGTGGATTACTGCCTCGTTTTTGCTTGAAAAGTTCATTTTGTCTTCTGAATCCTGTACCTGGTATGAGTGTACGAACTCGAGTGCCCATATCTCCTGCCAGTAGAACACGAACTGGATCATCATCTACCGCTTCTTGTAGCGGATCCGAGAATGAGGATAAGAATGATGTGAATGGCAGGGACATTTCTGCCTATGCTAATGATCCTTCTCAGAACTATGTAAATAAAGCAATCCCTGGCTCTAATGAAGAAGGAAATAATCCAGAGCCAGTTTGCTTGGGGTTGCAGAAGAATACCAGAAATAGCTTTCCTTATCGGAACGATGCAAGAATAGCGGATTTAGAAACTCCTCTGGCCGAGAAAACTCTGCATGTAGATATTGTACATAAGGTGGAATCTCCAATTATGAAATCATGTTCTGCTACAATGGAGAGACCATTTAACTTACATGATCAGGACCATGAGATTCTTAAAAAGACAACAGAACAAAAGCACTTGGTAGATTCTTCGCTTAGCTATTTTACTAATCCTGCGGAGGATAGAACGTCACAGCAAAATACTCAAAAGGAAGTTTCCTATCCACCATCATCAGCAGAAAAATTGAACAATGGAGGGGAAATGATGGCACTGTTGGTTTCTGGACAAGCTCAAGACCATTACCAGGACGCAGTCACCTCAACAAAGCCAAAGAATGATGTTAAGCGCAGTACAAGAAAGAAAAATGTTAAAAAAGAAAAGTTAGAGAACTCAAGCGTGGTACACTCGATGCTTCCTGCCCCCCCTCCTTTACCAAAATCTCCTTCAGATTCATGGCTTTGCCGTACTTTGCCTTCACTATCCACAAAATATGCATTGTCAAGATCATATGTTGGGACAGGAATAAGTCCTGAAAAACAATCTTGTAAGACACTATCCACTGATCCCAAGTGGGAAACAATTGTTAAAACAACGGGACATCAACAGTATCCGCGATATTCTGAGGTAAACACTNACCGAACTTTTCTCTTTCTGTTTTAACATTTATCTCCAATTTACCAGGAACGGATGGCTTTGACACCTATACCAGAAGCTCAATAGAAGACGTAGAGGCTTTTCTGAAGTCGTCTGATTGTTTCCCATGCTTTCCCGCGTAAAATGAAATAGTTTCTCGGGTAAATCAATCAGTACAACATGTTGCAAGATGATTGATAATATTCAGTTTTGGTCGATTCTACACTTCCTTTGTCCAGCTATAATGGGTTTGTAACTGTAAGTTTTATGCCCAATTCATAATATACTGTAATTACAGCACGGAATAAAAAGTCTTTGTACAGGTAAACATGAGAGTCAATCAACATGAATCCCCTATATGATTGATTTATAATAAGAAGGTTTCTGGTTTACATGTATCCGTTCTATCTTCTCTGCTCTTTAAGGTTGGCATCCTGCAAACTCTGTTTGTTGATCATACTTGTCCAAGTCAATGCACTGTATTACAGAAAATCCTTTTTATGCTGTTTGGCTCAGTTAGCACACTGGTTGAACACTCAACAGTGGTTGGAAACAGCCTCTTGCAGAAATGTAGGGTAAGACTGCGTACAATAGACCCTTGTGGTCCGGTCCTTCCCCGGACCCCGCGCATAGCGGGAGCTTAGTGCACCGGGCTGCCCCTTTATAGGACCTCAATTACAATGAATCAAACTATTAAACTTTAAATTATCCACCCGATGACAACAACAACAACAAACCTAGTGTAATCCCACATGTGTGGTTTGGGGAGGGTAGTGCGTGCGCAGACCTTACCCCTACCTTGTGGAGGTAGAGAGACTGTTTCCGATAGACCATCGGCTCAAGGAACAGTGAAATTCACCCGATGACACCATATCCCATTAAACTTCAAAAGCTTTAAACATAAATATAAAAGTTTCAACCACAACATCCAAATACATTTCAAACTACTGAAGCTGCAATAAAGTACTAACATCCTAATTACATCAAACTAGTAATAAGTGTTCAGAAAATACCTAAGTTGCTCTGACATGGCAGTTTAGGTGCCGCACCCGTGTCGACACGACACTAGTATGGGTGTGGGTATGTGATCCGTACCGGATTTGGTCAAACAATTTTGAGTACTTTAACCATGACAGACAGAAAAAATCGAGACAAAATACAATTTGATTACCGAAATCAGAACTAAAACTAGGATAAATTTGAAGAAAATAACATATCTTATCTAGGAAATCAATCTTTTGTTTATCTACAACTTGAGAATAAAAAGGAAATCCACACTTTACAAGCTATACGTAAGTATTCCACAAAATTTCTCATAAATTAAAGAGATTTTTATATTTTTTAATTATTTATAGCCGGATCCCCGCACCCGTATCCGTACTAGGATCTGTATCCCCGAATCATAGAATTTACATCTTGAAAGATCCGACCTCTAGATCCGCACCCGTGTCGGACACCCGCACCCATGTCCGAGCAACTTGGAAAAACACAAGGACATGAAACTAGACATCATTATCGCCAGGGGCAACATCATTTACTGGCTTACTGTTATCAAAGTCGGTCTGTGGAGAAAGGGGTAAACGAATATTATTATTCTCGACAGACTTCACCATCCACTTAACTTGAGCCTTGAGGCGTTTTATATCTTTGTCAATGCGCTTGTAATCATCGTTCTTTTCTTGCAGAGACATTTGACTTAACTCCAACAGCCTCTGTGTTATCTCTAACTGTCTTTGCGTTGTCACCAACTTCCTTCGTGTTGCCTCCAACTCATCCTCCGACTTATCCTGATTCACAGAGGACTGTGAAGAAGAAGAAGACGCACCAGCAAATCTGGACGAATGACGGTTGATTGAACGCTGCCCATCTTGATCGCCGATCGATCGACTCCGGGTGTACTTCTCCAAGCTTTGTTTATACTCATTCTGCAGGAAAAGCGATGACTATTATTATATAAAGGGCAGCCTGGTGCACCAAGCTCTCCTATGCGCGGGGTCAGTGGAAGGGCCGAACTACAAGGGTACGCAGTCTTACCCTGCATTTCTGCAAAAGACTATTCCCACGACTCAAACCCATGACCTCCTACTATTACTATTATTATATTAACTTTTAAAGAAAACGAAATAAGAGAAATGTTTGGATCTTACATATGCTTGCTCAGCCTGCGATTCAACCCAAACCTTTTTACCATCCTTCTTTTTCTTTGTGTGGGTCTCATGAAAGACCTCATCACTAGACCCATATCTCTTGTAAACCTTTTCATGCAAAAGAAATAATAGGAGTTCATTGGAAGTTCCAACGAATATAATTGAAAACAAATATAAATATTTCAAGAATGTTACCAATCTCTTTCTACTCCTCATAGTGACTAAACCCTCGGTGTGCAACGAGCCATCCTTTTTAGATGTTCGGGCAGCCTTTGCCTGGGAGGTCTTCCACTGAATGACCTTACTATCGCTAAAATTTTGAAAATGCGCGCTGACACTAGGCTTGAACTCTTCATGAGCAGTCCGCAAATGATATTTTTCTTTGAATCCCTCTTTATAAAGATGAAATTTAACAATCTCTGGTTTCAACAACTTTCTACACTTGCAATTCCCACAAAGACATCTAATCGTGCCTTCATCACCAAATTGAGAAAGCGACTTGGCATAGTCAATAAACTTAGCTACCCATAGTATAAATTCTTCATTCAACCATCCGCGATTAGGATAATTTCTATTATACATCCATCTATGTTGTTCAGGTTCCATCTGCACAATCAAGAAAAAAAGGACAAGATAATTCACTTCTTAAATTTTTCAATAAAGCAATCTTTTGATATTTATTCTCAATTATTGCTATTCAACCCATATATCCTAAATTTATTATTCTAAATGCTTTGTTTTAACGGCACTACACGTTTATTAAATATTAAAATGAATGCGACTTTATAATTAGCTGTAAAGTTTTTGGTGTATTAAAGAATATCCGCTAAAGAAAATTTCACTTTAATTTACATACTTCTAAACTAGAAAACCAATCCCAACAATACAGTAGAAAATTTTCATCAACTAAATGGAATTGGAAACTCAACAATTTTCACAAAGACAACAGAAAACTATAAATATCAATTCAAATAAGTAGCACAAATCAAAATTCTATTTTTAGTCAATTACTTCCCATGCCTCATATTATCTGTCATATTTTTCTTTTACACTCTCCTTAAAAAATATTAATTAGGAAGGGATTAAACTATTTTACCCTAATTTATATCTTAAGATAAAATCTCTCTTCATTGAATATTTATTATATTTATGTATTATCTCCATCTTCAAGAACAATTATTACTAAGGGTAAAAAAGAAAAAATATAATCAATTTTGTCTTGAACTTCTAAAATGACAAATAATTTGAGACAACTATTTTTAGTAACCAGAACTAATAATATGAGACGGAGGGAGTACTTTCGAGCAAAAAACTATGTCCTAATTCCACATGCGTAAACAGTAAAAACAATAAATTAAATTACCATATATAAACTAAATCCTAAAGACTAAACATCAAAATTAATACTTAACTAGTATTAGTACCCGCGCGGATGCGCGGAAACTAACCATGTCACATATTTGAGTTATTTAGATTATATGTAAATAATCTTAAAATTTAAATCTTCTCGATAAATATAGATAATCATTGAATATTAATTAAGCAACACTACATGAAAAAGATTAATCATTTCTCAAATCTCCTAGTTATAATTCTATTTTTCTTTTTTGGTACAATTTTCGTCGGTGTCATTGGATCCTAAAAATAGTCAGGAAGCAAAATAATAACTCATATTTATGGCAAACACAATATTCAAAGGCTGAGACTATGAAGGACTCTTTAGATATGACTTGACTCTTTTACTACTACTTGAACTCTTATTTGGTGTGTTGATAAACTTAATATCTTTCAAAAAATATTTCTATTTTAAAATTTCAGTTTCTAAAACTTTATTTTTCAATAATTATTATTTTTATAATAATATAAGTGAAAATATTATCCTAATTCAAAACTCATTTTAGTCGGCTATCTAAAAATTTAAAAAATTCTTTAGCCAATGAATTTTCCCCCCCCAGTATGACTCCATTTTTGATATTTGATATTAACCATGTTAAATATCTGAGGTATTTGAATTATATGTAAATAACCTTAAAATTTAAACCTTCTAGATAATTATAGATAACCCTTAGATATTAATTAAGAAACAATACATGAAAAAAGACTAATATTTTCTCAAATCTCGTAGTGATAATTTTATTTTTGTACCATTCTCATTGGTGTCATTGGAACCTAAAAATTGCCACAAAGCGAAATAAAAACTCGTATTTATGGCAAAGCATAAAGGTTGACACAATATAAACAATTCTTTGGTTACGACGTGACTCTTTTACTACTACTTAAACTCTTATTTGGTATGTTGTTATCTTTCAAAAAATATTTCTATTTTGAAATTCCAATTTCTAAAACTTTATATATATTTCAATAATGATTATCTTTATAATGATGCAAGTAAAAATATTATCCTTAATTTAAAATTTACTTTAATTGGCTATCTAAAAATTTAAATAATTCTTTAGCCGGTGAAACTTTATTTCAGTATGACTCCATTTTGAGTTTATCGATATCTCTATCCACAGATTGTGAATTTTGAATACCTTATATATACAGATTTTTTATTTTTTAAATCATTAAATGTTAAGTTCGTTGATTGTCATTATATAACATTACATATATTGTCTTAAAATTGCCAAGTAGTTTTTTCTCTACACCATACTTGGCTTAACCTCAATGCAAACTACGCAAATTGCATTTAAATTCAAATTCGAATATCATATCAGTTTGTTAGTAATAGTAATTTTTTTAAAACGGCACACAATGTGAATTAAGAAAAATATTCTACGATATCCCTATTTTATAATTTATGTATTTGAGTTGAAAAAAATATTTGAAATCAATGAGATCAGCTTCCAAATTTTTTATACTTAACAAAGATGAAACAGAAGAAGAAATTCGTTGTCATCTCTTATTTATGGTTTTAGATTTTTCATACATTTTTTTTCTATATTTATTTTCTTTTATCTTTTTTTTTTATGTCTTTCTTTCTTTTATTACAAAAAGTTAATTTATTTCGCTATAAAAAGATGAGTTCTAATTGAAATTATCTACATAAGAACTTTATTTATATTTTTAGTCTTTGATTGAAATTCTTTCATATTTTTCTTTTGGCTTTATCTAATCAACCTAAATAGGTGCTCTCACAAAAAAATTAAATGATGGGTAATTTTAAATATAATTCATATATAATATGTGTATAATCGTGTGTTGTAGGTATATCATCTATGTATATTAGCTATAAAAAGAAACAATAAATCTGACCGATATTTATGTAAATATTTCATAAGATTTCGGTTTCTTGATTTTATCCATGATATGACTTCTATTATAATAATTTTAAAAAAATTCTACTAAAATTCAAAAATATCTTATCTTTTTATTTTTAAAATTACATTATATTTTAAAAAATAATTCCATTTCGAAATAATTTGTTTACATTTTAAAAAAATCACGCCATACCAATTTTTTTAAAATATACTTTTTGTTATGCTTGAAAATCGCTATAGAAACTATCAATTAGAAAGAAATATCCCTCTTGTTGAATTCGAGAAAAAAATCTTTCACATAATCTAATGATTCAAAACTAATATTCTTCATCGAAAAAAATATTATACCCTTGCAATGTTGGCTTGACTGCAACTAAATGAAGAGGTTTCAGCTTATATCCTTCAATTCCTAGAAGGTGCTAAATTGAAATTAATGATAGCAATTGTATAGCCAAAGTTTTGTTATTTGTTTGATGTAGATTTATACAAATTGACTCTTCAAACAAACATTTTTCAAAAGGGAAAAAAATAACTTTTTTTGAATATTGACTGATTTTTGTGTTGTTTCTTTCTCCAGCATGTAGGTTTACTTCATTATATATGTAAGTAAACTTTTATTAGATTTTTAAACTCTTTTTTGTTATCTGGATAAACATAGACGTGCACCCTATATATAACATTTATTTTAAAAGAAATTCGCTTTATTCAAATCTAGATATAGTGTTTTAAAGAACTATAATTATAGGGTTTTAAATGTGAAAGGATTCTATAGTTATATGGAGTAGTTTTTTTCTTTTTTGCCAGAGGCGAAGTAGTATTTAAATAATTAGAAAAGATAACAAAAGTTCCTAACATGATTGCATATGATGATTAACCGAATTAAGTATAATGACAGAAGATAAATTTCTTTTTTATTTTAATTTTAATTTAAAAACTTTATCTATAAATTCAAAATTATCCTTTAATTCAAATTCAATATATATATATATACACACACACACGCACACACTCTTGTATTTCTATTTGATTAACATAATCAAATATAGAATAAAGTTATCATATACTATTGGTATTTATTAGCTTGCCACTTGGCTTAACCACAATGCCAAATATATATGGTAACTTTATTCCTTT